TTTAAAAGCTCGATACCATTAGAAATTAGATCGACTTCTAATAGTGTACATGCGATTAATAATGTCGTTAATAGGGAGTTTTCGTTGCTTACAAATTGCAATTCCGGTTAACGCTAATTGACAACTTTGACATTTCAATTTCGATTATCGTATATCGTAACTCGTAACCGCTAACTGCCGATATTTTAGGGACGTCAGCCAAAGCCGTTAACATAGCGGTACGCATGCGCACTAGCGCAGTAGAACACAACATTGAAAAATATATAGCAATACCTAAATAAAGCACTTTCAAATCAAACAACAATACAAAAACCAAAAATCAAAACACTACGCTACGGGCTGTGCTCTCAGTCAGCTGTCAGTTTTCGGTTATCGTATCGTATGTCGGCTCCGAACCGATGAACCGAAAGTCCGAAAACTGTTTTTTTACTGTCAAAATAGCGTTTATGGTTACGTATCCGTTAACCGTATACGTACCGTTGAATTTTTTAAAGCAACGAAAACTCCCTAATATAATACAGGAATCTGTAATTTTCTCCCCTCCGCCCATTTCATTAGAAAAAACGGCGGCAAGTTTTCTGCTTTTGAAATTACGATCAATGGCATTTTATTGTGCAAAATTGGATGGTAAATGGCATCGATCGTAATTTCTCAGGCAATTTAACGTCTTAGCAAGTATACTTATTTTTTTTATCAAAAAAGCTTAATAGAAAATAAAATGACTGAACATGTTAGTAGCTTTATTACTAATTAAACTATTCAAAACATGTTCTGATATTACTAAAAAAAATTAAGTAAAAAATATAGCAAACTTTATAGTTTGACGACGTTATAATTTATTATTAACAATAGGCAACTGGAAAAAAATTACCTAAGTACATATTAGAGGCATAATTCCATACCTAGAAATGCCGTATGGTCAAAAAAACGGCGTCCAGAATGGCTTGAAAATAACGGTCGGTGACATTCTCCATATAATTTTACACATAAATTGACAGCGATCTTCATTTCATAGCCATCGCTGACGCCGTTTTTGTTTCACGATCATATTGTATTTCCCATTAGTCGCATGGTGGCAATACTAATTTATATTTAGAGATATATCTAAATGTGTATAAACTAGGTATTTGATTAGCAATCATATTTAAGCTATTGGTACTCATATCATATTCTAATTATTTGAAACATACTATCTGCTCCTATTATATTCATGTAACTAAATTTTCTAATTTTAATAACTCTCTGATAATAAAAAACAAGAGTGTGTTTTGAAAAAGTAAAGCATAATCACTGTGTATTGACTTTATTGTGAAAAGGAACCTATATGAAACACATTTACGTAACTTACAGAATAGTTTAAAAGAACTTACACATGTTTTTTAGTCTATTTTCTTTATTTATATTTGAAAACTACAGTCCCCCTTACAATACATAAAAACATTTATATTCAAATATACTCTAGACAGAGAGCTCCAATTTTTATATGAAACGAGAATTTGTTCACACGTAAACTACATTTTATGTATTTTATTCTACTAATTTTAATTACTACAAATGATCTTGATACTTTTCTTTTGAATACAAATATTCTTGTTACTCTCTTTCATCTTTGTCTCTAATAGTTTATACAGATGCATTGCAATTTGTTGTTAGTATATTTATGTAATCATTTCATAAATCCTAAAAATAAAAATGGTTATAACATGCTTTCCAGATATCCATATCCACAATTTTCTGTGTAGATATGTTCAATTTTTTTAAATAATTTTCAATCTTTGCATGTAATAATAGATTTCACATATTATATGCATTACACAATCTGGCATTACCTGCAATAATAAAACATATTTTATTTAAAGTGTATAATTCTATCTAACTCATTTCTAATAAAGTATACTCTGACCCTTTGAACATTTGTTACAGCTTCTAATAATTAGGTATATCGATAACTTCCTAAGAAATTTTGTTAGTACTTGTAGTTAGTTTACCCTTTTTCTCAATATATTCTGCATAATATATGACTCGATACATTCACCTAGAATAACATGAATAATATCATTTATGAATAGAAAACTACATGTATAACTTTTACGTTAATATTTGCAATTTCAGGCCAAAACTTGTCTGAAGAGAATTTTCTTGGTTTGTTTAAAAATATCTTACCGTATAACATAAATTTACTTCTGAATAAATCTAATCAGATCAAATTTTCTTCATAGTATAGAAAACATCGAAACTATTTGACTGGTAATCGAGCTATCAATAAGATGACACTAAAATTTAATGCATAATTAAATGGTATAATTATTTTCATATAAAACAAAACTTTATACTTAATAATAACCACAGGAAGTACATAATTACAACAGTGTTACTGAGATTTTTGATTTAATGTATTGCTGGGTATTTGTAGATCTATTATTATTGTATTGTAATTACAATTGCCTTCTTCTCCATTGATGCATCCTAATTTAAGATTACTGATTTTCTAATAGGTAATTAAAGTGAAATTATTTTTTTCTACCATTACATAATTAATTCCTTCCTACCATTAGGTAGATACCTGAAAGGTTAATAAATTAAAAACGAATTTATTAAGATATTTAAACTGTTTACCTTATTTCTCACATATTTTTGACACAAAACATTATAAAAAAATGAGAAATTAAGTGTAAGTGCTCGCTGCCGCATGCGCCGATGTTTGTTTATCACTTTGATATCAGGTGTCAGATTTTTGTCGGGGCTTTGGGGGCTTCCCATATTTTTACATTTTAGATAACGTAGAATATTCTTTGATTTTACCTTAATTCTTTATTGTACTTTTATTTTATTTTTCGGACATCCCTACTCCATACCTTAAACATTTAGAAAATTGATTTATCTATCTTTATACAACCACCAAAACGTTGACCCATAATAGTAATACATCAGTCCAGTAGAGGACGCTAAGTTAAAAAATTTCCAAATAAAAATTTGTAATTTGTAATTCCTTCAGTGTTTTCGAAATCGTCGTAGGATTGTGTCGGTTTTGATGAAATGTCGAAGAAAACCCCGGAATGTCTTTCTACCAACTTTCTACCATCAGCCGCCGGATATAAGTAGTTATTAAAGCAAGTTTTTTAACACTTTTTGCTATATTTATGAGTTGTGTTTGATTATTATCATGTGAAAAATTTTAAATAATATTTTAAAAGTGATAGGCATGGTGATAGGTTTGTGATGTTCAGTTTAATAGATATTTCGTGTGTATGTGTTTGCGTATATGTGTGCTGGATAAAAAACACTTTCATCAAAAGGGTAAGCTCTAACTAAATATTAAAGATTATAATTGTTTATTGAAACGATTGAAAATATTTCCTAATATGGCGAAAAAAGAAGCTATAATAATTGTTAAGATTTATTTTTTCAGTTTACTCCTGTAAAAAGTATTTAAAACATTGCGCGTTTCTCTAGAATTAGTAGAGCAATCTACACTAATATGAATAAAATTAATTTTCGTATTTTTTTCTGTAGCAACTTAACATAATTGTGAATTTATAGAAAAACATGCAGAATGTGGGTATGGTAGGAGGTGGCAACGTTGCATTATCTCCGACATTCTCTCTATGGCAGGTAAACGAATTTCCCGGGGAGTGAACAGTGGCACTCAAAAGTTTTTCAACATTTTCCGGAAAATGTCAAGAAAAATAAAAAATTTTCAACATTTTTTTTTTTGCAAAAAAACCTCATAGGCGTGTTTCTGGGGTTGAAGTATACTACCAGTTAAAATATCTGCACTCATTTCTGGGACACCCTGTATAATATCTATTCAGGCTATTATAATTAATTTTATGATATGTCATACATGTCTTCTATGCATAAAACTGTATTTTCTAGGTTGACAATTTTTTTTGTTGTATCTCTTAATTCCCTTCCACCCGGTGCAAAAATTACTTTCACACTGTAGTCACCGCTTCTGATTTTTAGCGATTTGGCCTTGAAGTCAATTAATTATTTTTTTAAGTAAAAACTATGGGTCCGGCAAAAAAAACAGAAGATGAAAATTGTTTAGAAATGAATGAAAATTTTGAAAATAATTTTTATTCTAAGAGAAGTCATTTTGTGTTTCGAAAATATTCAATGTAGAACCCGTATGGACGCCACTGGTTGAAATGAATAAAATTACTTGTACGTCGAAATCGACTGATCTACGCATGTGTAGCAAGTAAACTTCACGTTTTGGTCGGTCCAGCAAATTAGTTAAATTTGGCCATATTCTATGATTAAAATTAACAGTGAATTGTGTAAAAGGGTATACTGAACGTTCAAGCATCATGACCCGTGGTGGTAATAAGGGAGATGAAGTCTCCAGAAAGCCAAATTCGGAATATCAAAAACTCAACACTCGTATGGAACAAATGGCCGCCAGATTTACGAATGAAATCCAGAATTTTAAGAAGGCCCTCAAGGATAAAAATTCGGACAGTGGAAAGTCAAGTCCTGTAAGTGATCAAGATCGATGGGATGTTTCTGATTTGGAGAAAAAATTTCTTGCCTTTCAAAAGTCTGTTATGAGTTCAATAGAAATGTTGAAGGACGATTTAGACCGATTGAAAACCAATCAAAAAATCAACCAATCATAACGCACTGTTAATCCACGGCGTCGCAGAAGCAGAAGACGGAGCAAGTAACCTCTATACTACTGTCACCGATTTGATAAATTCAAAAATGGACATCGATATTAATAAGTTTAACATAAATATAATTTACCGTATGGGAACAAAAAATGAACTAACAACAAAAAAACCCAGACCTATATTAGTATCGTTTTGTCAGCGCTGGCTGCGGGATCAAATCTTTTACAGTAAGAAATGTTTGAAGGGATCCAGGCTTGTTATTTACAGAACTTTTGTCGGGCAAAAGCATGAGAATTTACAAAGAGGCCAGAATGCATTTCAAAAACTTGTTGTTGGACAGCAAATGGTAAAATTATAGTTCATAGTGATGGTGCAAAAGTGGTGATTAGTTCGTCCGAGCAATTGACTGAGTTGATTGTAGGAAAAACAGTATACAATGATGCGGTCTGAATTTGTTCAGAGGGTATGTTTTTATTTTTATGTTCATATTTATGAATAATCTGGTCGTACAGGGACGTATTATTAATCAAATTATGAATGTTTTGATGATACAGTACTTATTTTTAAATGTACATTAACTTAGTTTGGTTTGTGTTTAAAGAGACATATTTTGGCTTGTAATCTACATATAATAATGATGGGTCCACTCTTATCTCTTTTTTTTTGTTTTTTTGATATAGAATTTGTTATTATTGGTGTTATTGTTTTATCAAAAAAATCAATAACTTATTTTCAGTTTTATTTATGATATAGTTATAATAATCTTTTATAATTATAAATTTTGGATCGGCTAGAGGTGTTAATTGAATAATGTTTTTTCCCAAAAGCATTTTTTTGTTTGATAGTTTTTTGTTATGTAATTTGAAGGGTATGAGCGGATATAAAAGGGGAGGCATTTTCTTTTGGATGGTTTATTTTTCTGGGGATGGCTAGCATCATGGATTCGGGCGGTCAGCAGAGCAATAGAACGAGTAAAAAATTTTGTATAGGACATTTAAATGTTCGTTCTCTAAATACCGGTTTTGACGAATTTGTTCACTATTTAAATAATTACCGGCTGGATGTATTGGGTCTATCTGAAACTTGGTTGTCATCTAACTATGGAAATGATGCTTTCAGTGTTACTGGATATTCACTTGTTAGAAAGGATAGAGATGGTCGAGGAGGAGGTGTGGCAGTATATATAAAACAGCACTATAAAGCAAAGAAAAATTTTACTTTTCAATTTATATAGGCCTCCTTCGTCAAATATTGAAGATTTTATTAACTTCCTGGAAAACTTGTTGAGTTATACTGTGCCATTTTATGACAATGTGATATTTGTGGGTGATTTTAATATTAATTTTCTAAAACAATCTCCTGTAACATTGAAGGTATCTAAAATTTTAGAATCTTTTAATCTTGTACAGATTATCAACGAACCAACTCGTGTTTCGGATGGTGCCTGCAGTCTAATTGATGTAATGATCACAAATAATAATTTTAATTATGATTTCAGCACTTCCGTCCCTGTATCTGAGTCAGTTTCTGATCATTGTTTGATATATGTTACTATATTTACTCTACAAATATCCCATAGCTCTGCGAAATATATTGAATATAGAGATTATAATCATATTAACCAGGAAATTTTTAAAAAAGATGCAATTATGTTACCTTGGGAAAATATTTTTTATATAGCGGATATTAATATTAAAATAAAAACTCTATATAATTACATTTTTTATCTCCTCCATAAACATGCACTGTTGCAAAAGAAGAAAATCACAGATAAACCATATTTACCCTGGATAACGTATCCGTTATCCGTAATCAGGGTTAATCAGCGTTATCCAGGGTTATCACATATATTAAATTATTAATCAAACTTAGAGACAAGGCACATCAAAAATATTTAAAACAACGATCTGAAGCCAAATTACAATATTATCGTCAACTCAGGAATTTTACAAAACATGCTATAGTTAGAGAAAAACTTAGTTATTTTAAGGGTTTATCGGAAAAGACTGGTAAAGACTTCTGGAAAGATGCTAAACGACTTAAGTTAACATTTAAATCAAGTCCGGAAGTTCCTGAAAACTTAGCGGATGTAGATAAGCTTAATATATTTTTTTCGAACTGTCATAATTGCATTAATACTACCTCAAATAAAATAATAGATTTTTATAGGCAAAATAAGCATGAGAATATAGGAAATAATGTTCTAAATTTCAAACTAATAGATGAGGTATTGTTACATCAAATATTAAATTCAATTCGGTCTAATGCTGTCGGTGAAGATAATTTATCAATTAAAGCACTAAGGCTGTGCATGCCTTACTGTGGTAAAGCGGTAATAAATATAATTAATACTTCTATTTTAAACAGTGTCTATCCCGAAATATGGAAAAAAGCTATTATAACACCTCTCTGTAAAATTTCCAAACCTTTATATAATAGCGATCTAAGACCCGTGAGTATTTTGCCAGCAATTTCCAAAATTATAGAAAAAACATCTACATAATCAAATTGTTTCATTTGTAGATTCAAATACACTAATACCTGAATGCCAATCTGGTTTTCGTAAGAACTACAGCACTACCACTTGTCTACTGAAGCTGGTTAATGATATTAGAACAAATCAAGAAAATAAAAATATGACTTGTCTTAGCTTACTAGACTTCAGTAAAGCAATTGATACTCTAGACCATTCATTGCTCCTAGCAAAATTAAAGTATTTTGGATTTTCAGACGGCTCTTTAGAATTGTTAAAAAACCTTTTAAAAGATAGATCACATTGTGTTGTCATGAAACGAGGAAGTTTAAAACAAAAATCTAGTTATATTCCTATGATTTTTGGGGTTCCTCAGGGATCTATTCTGGGGCCCCTTTTATTTTCGTTATATGTGGCTGACATGGATAAGGAAGTACAGTTTTCTAAATTGCAGCAATATGCAGATGATTCTCAAATTTATTGCAAAATAGATATTAATAATTTGGAACAATTTCAGTTAAATTTTAACCACGATCTGAATAAAATTAATAAATATGCTCTGGATGATAATTGTGTTATAGTATTTGGTAGTGATATAAACAAAATTACAAATACGGCTGGTAACATGAATATCCATATAGATAATGTTGCGATACCCATTGTTACAGAGGCTAAAAATCTTGGAGTCTATTTTGATGCGAAGCTTTCTTTTCAGGCACATATAACTACTAAATTAAAGGCTGCTTATATACGGTTGAAGAATTTTTAATATCTTAAGAAATATATACCATCAAAGACTAAGTATCAATTATGTGACACACTTATTTTATCTTTATTTGATTACGGCTATGTTGTTTATGGTACATCCATAAACGCTAGATTCTCTAGAAAAATCCAAATACTTCAAAACTCGTGTCTACGGTTTTCTTTTAACATTCCTTTTAGAGATCATATAACGCCACATCTTAAAAATTTATCTGTTTTATCCATGACTAACAGACGACAATTTCATTTAATGACATTCATTTATCGAATTTTAACTACAGAGCAGCCTCCCTATTTGTTCTCATTATTTCACTACGTTGGCCATGCTCATTCGACTAGGCAAGTGCATTATTTTAAAATTCCTCAATACCGAACAGCTAACTTAACCAAAAATCTTTCAGTTTTATAGCGTCACATTTGTGGAATAATATTTCTAATAACTTTAAAACCAATCCTTTACAGATTATAAAAAACAAATTAAAAATCATTTACTAAATTCGTGAAAATTATAATATATTTGACTGATTTGTGAGGTTCTTGTTCTTCTGATATGTTCGTCATTGGTTGCTGTTCCGGATTTTACACTGTTTCGTTATGCCTCTCTGCTTATCTCCGCTCATCCCTGATAAAATTATATTTTATCTTTTTTTGTTTATTTATCTGATTTCTGTTTATTTTTGTAATGTAATTTATTTCTATTTTGTTTCTGGGGTCGCACCACTCTGGCACTTTGTGTCTTTGCATCGGTTTTTTAATCGCGGTGCGATCCCTTTAGACACATATTTATTAAGAATAGTAAAATTATTAATCTGTAAAACGTAATAGGGTCTAATAAAACATTTGAATTTGAATTTGAATTTGAAATAGTCACTTTGATGTATAGAAAACGTGTACCAAGTTTCATAAAGATATCTGTAATAACATTGGAGTTATTATGAAAAAAATGTATTTTATTAGAAAAATTTACCACTCTGTATTTCAAAAGTTAAGACGTTTAGGACACACATTCATATAAAGTTTTTTTTAAAGAATAGGTTCATGAATCACCCCCTTAAATATTAGCATGTCATTAAGGAACACCCTGTATACAGTAGGTCGATCTGTTCTGTAGCTACGGGGCATTCGTAAGGAGGGAAATAAAATTCTCTCTTTTATTTTTTTCGACCGTTTTTCCATGTAAATAAGACATAATCTTTATTAAAATTAATAAATTCTGAAGAAAAACAATAAAAAATCAATAAAATCACGCAAATACTTTACCGACAACGACTGCGTGGAAAACGATCATATTTGCGCAAATTAATAACTGAGCTACAACAAGCATTTTGGATTTTTTGTAGTCTGTGATGTGCCATGATATGTAAACAAGGAAAAAGTGCATTGCTACAATATTGCAACCTGGAGAAAACAAGACTTTGACACAGATGTTTTTCATCTTAAATGACAAGATATTCTTGTTGCAAAGCGATAATTTAAAATTGATGTCACCCTGTTGCGTTAGATGGCTGGCAGGTGTCGAAATTCTTAAATCCTCATCACAATGGAGTCTAAGATTTTTGCGGATTCTATGATAGGGATATCTATATTGTTAATTGAAAGCATCATTTTTAACTTTAAATCAACTCGTTGTTTTTAAGAGCAGAATATAATTACTTTCGATTTTGATTATTATTTTGTAATGTCCCAAGAGTATATTGTTTTATTAAAAGTAAAAATGGCACTTTTTGTGGCGAGGCTGTACATTTGACGGGCGGCTGTTGTGTGACATACAGCCGAGGCACAAAAAGTCATTTTTACCACGAATATGCTATTTTTTTCTTTCAAAGGCCACAAATAATTTTTTTAAAAATTTCATACGTTCCAAATAATATAAAAATATTTAAAAGTCATACCCTGTATGTAATTATACTTCAAGAAACTATGGTTACGCTCGTTGAATTTGACACTTTATGTCAGTTTAATAATATATTTTCGTACTTTTATACTTAGGCGTAAAAGTTCTTTTCTTTTATGCCCAGGCGTTAAAATGACTTTTTTATATTGTCAATCACGTCGCAAAAATTGCTACTTTTGTGACGTTTAGCGTATGCTGAAATATTGTTTAGATTGTAATTAATTAATTCCATGAAGTTTAAAGAAATTATGTAATAACCTCTCCGCCGCAAAATATCGAGTTTGTTAGTATATGACGCATTTTCTTTGGTCAAGGGTATAAATTAGGAACA